TATCTCTTTAGTTTTCCTGTTAGCACTCCCTTCAGCAATTCTTGCAGAGCCATTCTGGTGTTTATAAATTCTTTCAGGTTTAGTTTATCTGAGAATGTTCTTATCTTTTCTTCCCATTTGAAGTATAATCTTGCTGGGTATAGTAATCTTGGTTGAAGTTGTTTTTCTTAACACTTTGAATATATATTCTCATTCTTTCCTTGCTTGCATTGTTTCCTCTGAGAGGTCTGATGTTAGCTTAATGGAATAAACTTTCTAAGTAACTGACATTTCTCTCTTGCCATTTTTAGAATCTTATATTTATCTGAGATTATGGCCAATCTGGCTATGATGTGCAGTTGAGAAGATCTTGTGTTTACTCTATTTGTGGTCCTTGTATTTCTTCATTCTGGATATTTGAATTCTGTTATTAGATTTTTCAATTTCTGAGATATCAATTATTCAGATATTTGGGCATTTAGTGGTAGATAGTATTTCTTGTGCATGATCTTCATTGTTTTAAAATTACCTTTTCAAACTTCTTGTGATTTTTTTTCTAGGTCAGAGGTTTTGTCTTCTAGATTGAAGATTCAATCTTCTGCATAATCTAATCTGCTTCTAATAATTTCAAGGAAGGTTTTGATTTCCTGTATTTATCTCAAACAGTTCTATTTCTTTTTTTATGGTGTCTATTTCTTTTTTCAAATCATGGAAGGACTTCCTCATCTCCTGGATTTTATTTCTTTTCCCTTCCATCTCATAGTTTTGTCACCATGAATATTCTGAATTCTTTTTCTGACAATTCAGTAACTTCTATATTTTCAAAAGTTGGAGGCAAGTTACTGTGTTCTCTTGATTAAGACATATGTCCTACTTTTCTCATACGTGAGGTTTTTCTATGATTTTTAGCCATTAGATGATGTATTCACTTTCAGATAACTCTTTGTACATGGTTTCTACACCTGTAAGCTCATTTGCTTCCCTTTTGGTGTGCACTGCTTCTGTGCCAATGTCTGTCTTTCTTCTGCTGTGGTTAGCAATGTGGTACCCACAGGAGAAGTTTCTGTTCAGGTTTCTGAAGAAGCATTTCTCCCTTTTGCCTGGTGGTTCAGTGTGGGGTGAGGATTCCTCTTAGTTTGATACTATTTGATCTTTAGGTTTGGTAGAATTATCTGGGTCTGGAATTTTCTTTTTTGGAAGGTCTATAAACGGAAATTTAATTTATTTAATATATATAACATTTGAGGGTTATATAGTTCATCTTCTGTTATTTTGATGGTTAATACTTTCAAGAAATTGGCCCTCTGTTTTGAGTTTCGAGAGGATGTAGATGCTTATCAGAGAAAGAGACAGAGAAAGTGGGGGATGGAGAAGCAGCCCCTTAAGGGTTATAGTCATGTTGCATTTCTTTGTTCATTTCTCCACCCTGTTATGATTTGAGGTAGAAACATGAATGCATTTGATGTGTTTTTCCAGCTACTGGGGTGGAGTTTGAACTGCAGTCAGACATGTGAGATTCAGCACCCTTAACCACTAGACTACTGGCAAACCTAACCCATTTATTTATATTTTCATTTGTGGTAACATAGTTCTTTTTTTTTTTTTTACACTTTAATTAATTATTCTTTATTTTCTGAGGAGTCTACAGTGATGCCCCCTCTTTAATTTCATGTAATTTCTTTTATCTCTTCATATCTAGCTATACACTAATCAATTCTATTGATCTTTGCAAAGAACCAGATTTTAGTTTTGTTTATTCTCTACTCATATTAGTTATATCTTCTGCTTAGTGAAAAGTTAGATTTCAGAATTGAGACTTCCTTATTTTAATGTGATGTTTATTGTATAAATTTTCTTGTATTCACTACCTTAGGTATATTCTGTAGATTTGGGATTGTTACATTTAACTTACTTTAAAATTAGTTATTTTTCTTTTACTTTTCTTTCTTGACACATCTGTTATTTAAAATTTTATTTGTACATTTTTGAATATTGGGAAATTTTCCAGATAACATCATCTTTTATTTGTTTTTAATTAATTAATTAATTTTTTTGGCCCTTTTTTTTTTTTTTTGGAGAGGGTGCATGGGATTGACAGACAGAGAGAGAGAGATAGAGAGACAGAAAGCGAGAAATCATCCCCCAGGGGGGATGGCCACACCGCATCCCTTCTCCTCCATTCTCCTCTCAGGATCTTGGGCACGCACGCACACGTTCCCCGGCGTGAGTTTAAGCCACCGGGTACGGGACTCGAACCGTAGTTGACTATGTGGGAGTCTAACGACATAGACATTACACTAACTGCTAGTCCCTAATTAATTTATTTAAAAAAAAATTTGGAGAGATTTTTGCTACAGGGCATGTGCGCTCATCACAGAAACAGAGAGAGTCGGAGAGACAGAAAGCGAGAAATTACCCCCAGGGCGTATGGCCACGCCACAATCCCTTCTCCTCTATTCTCCTCTTGGGATCTTGGGCATGCACACACATGCGCCTGGCTTGTGTTTAAGCCACCGGTTCTAGGACTTTAACTGCGGTTGACTACATGGTAGTTCAATGACATAGCCATTACACTAACTGCTGGTCCCGTATTTTTAATTCATTTTTATTATGATTTGTATACGTTTGTATATATTCTCCTTGATGAGTGATCCTACGTAATGGAAAATAATGTCAGCTCCACTATTGTTATATGGAATATTCTATAAATACCAATTAGATTAAGTTAAATCTAAATGTTATACATAAATTTTCTATTTACTGATTTTTTATCTATCTACTTATTCTCTTAAGTTACTAAGAGTGAATTGTTGAAGTCTGAAACTAAAATTATGGAATATTTATTCCTTCTTTAGTTCTAAAAATTTCTCCTTTACAGAATGTGAACCTTTCTTGTTATGTGGCTGTATGTTAAAGATTGTTTTTATTTTCTTGAATAAAGAATTAATGACTTTTTATTTATCTAATGTTACTAATTTTTCTTTATTATTTCATGAACTTAAATCTGATTTTTTTATATTAAAATAATTACTTCAGTTTTCTCTTGGCTAATATTTATATGTCTTTTTATTCTGTCTTAATTTTTACTTAGACTTGTTTTTATACCTAAAGTAAATTTCTTGTAAACAACAGAAAATTCCTATTTAAAAATCTAATATAAGCATTACTTAGTTTTATTTTAATATATTTATATATTTTAATTAAAATCTATCTTGCCATTTTCTTTTTGTTCTATCTGCTTAACTACATCTCCCCAGGCATTTTTTCTGTTTCCTTTTAGGCTAAGGCATTTTTTCTGTTTACTTGTAGGCTAATTGTGTTTTCTTATGATACAATTTTATCTTTCTATTGAATTATTTATTTATTTATAAAAAATTGTTATTATCCCACTATGGTGTTTGACTATTACAAACCTATATATCTTTAAGTCCTCCATCCCATCCTTTGTAATATTGTGGTAAAATATTTTACTTTTATATGGGTATAATCACTCAATATGTTGGAAATATTTCTCCTTTGGTAGGTCAGTTATCTTTTAAGAGCATAACATATAAAGAAAAAAATTAATTTTATTTTACTTTAACTATTTTATTCTTAACATTTCTTTGTGTAAATTTAAGTTTGTTAACTGTGATGATTTCCAGGGAGGTGGTATCCCTCATTGGGTCTATAATCCTGTGTCAGGATTCAGAGAAGCTGAGAAATGATCCTTGGAGGAAATATCCACTTGTTTATTATTCTACACCAACAAAGTGAGAAGGTAGAAAAGACACAGCATGTGTGAGCTGCAACAGAGAATCATGTCCTGGACTGACTCCTTAAGCATCACATATATGCCTGCACACATACACATATATACATATAATATCTGATGCTTTACTTTTACTTTGCAAGTCTCATGCAAAATGCATTTGATGAGTCATGACAAGCAGAAACTATACAGGTAAGTGTAAACTTGAAAATGCAGTACCATCTTGGAAAATTTGACGAAGTACAAAATTATGTATTCACCACAGAAGATATGTTTTATAAGGCAATATTGAGAATTCTTTAGGAAAAGTAGTGTGAAGTGAATTAAGAGAAACTTAACTTTTTTCCTGTATAATTCTGTCTTCTCAAATGATGGTGATTAGCAAGCTGCTCTACAGAAAACACAAGCAAAGAAAATAGGTTGCATTTGTTCATTATTTTTGCTCATTATTTTTTCTCAGTATATATTTTTCTTTTTTCCAATTTTTAATATATTTTTTGCTTCAGTTTCTTTATACATTCAATCACATATGTCACTTGGCTTGCAAAGTGAATAGTTCAATATGCATACATTTCTCACCAGTCCAGTTGAGAATACTATACACGTTATCTTCAACAGATAATAACCCATTTCTTTGTCCCATAAACGCCTTGCCTTTCTATTTTTCTCCTTAATGTTCTTCCTCAGACTCTCCTCCTTCACCCACCCTCTTCCCACACTGTATCTGGTATCTCAATATAGTCTACCATTAGATTTTAAATTATTTTTCATTCGTGATTATAATAATTGTTAGCCAGTTTCCTAAATGCTGTCTGAAGGAAACATATATTTTAAAATAGATAACTTTGTATGAGGGAAAGAAAAAGAATGACAACATCCCTTGAAAACAAAACAAACATTGGGACAATGCCTAGAATGGTTTATCGGATGCAAGATAGCTTTACACTTAACGTTCTAAGCATAAAAGTAGTGCTAGCATCAACTTTAAACATAGGAAGATAATTATTTGATACAAAGGCAAGTTCTACAAATTATAATTGAATAAGTTAAAAGGACAGATGTCCTCATGCATTTTTAGAACTACCCTTAATATGAGAGGTATGGCTTAGTGGTAGTTTTCCAAATGATGGTTTTCAAAGAGAATGAAGGTTATGTGCTGAGGTTTGCCACACCCTTAGCTGGAGAATATAAAAGTCTGAGTGCAGACGGTGATCTTCATTCTCTGGAAACTCACTTTGGACAGCAAACCAAATCCTCCAGCCCTGACACAATGAGCTATTACAACAGCAACTGCTATGGTGGCCTTGGCTATGGCCTTGGTGGTTTCGGTGGCCTGGGTTCTGGCTATGGTTCTGGCTATGGTCTTGGGGGTTATGGTGGATATGGCTATGGCTACTTCCATCCCTCTTTCTATGGAAGACACTGGTCAATTGGATTCTTCTGAAAATACTGTTCATTACATAAAAATTCACAAAATATTTCTATTTCAGCAAATACTTCTGATTTCTTTACTGTGATCATTGATATATATATGTGAGTTTCATAGCCATTGAAGAAGATATCCAAGACAAATCTCTGAAACTGTGGGGATTTATTTCATAATGCAAGTTGGATAGCCTCACTCCTGTTCCATTATTGAAATGCAGCTTTCTTCTTTATATCTTTAGTGATATTTCTGGACATATTTCATAATAAACTTTATTTCTAAAAATCTGAAGTCTTGTTTTATTTATCTTAGTCCATCTTATTGCAATTTTTGTTTATATATTGGCATCTGTGAATCATATTTTCTTATTATATTAATTTTGTTTCCTATGGATATTTTTCATTCTTTAAAGTAACCCTCAAAAAAAAGATCCTCATAGCATTTTAGCTTAGCAAAAATCTCTGTGCTTCACATAGTGTTTGCTTTTTCTTTTCATCATACATTAAACAAAATAGATTTAGACATATCTAACTAATTATAATATTGAATACACAAACACACTTACTGCATTTAATATAATATTTATGCTTATTTTTGTATAAATGTAAGCAGTAAGTCAAGTGTTATTAGTAGTGAGGAATCTTTTTGTGGACATTTCTCAAATGATGGTGATTAGCAAGCTGCTCTACAGAAAACACAAGCAAAGAAAATAGGTTGCATTTGTTCATTATTTTTGCTCATTATTTTTTCTCAGTATATATTTTTCTTTTTTCCAATTTTTAATATATTTTTTGCTTCAGTTTCTTTATACATTCAATCACATATGTCACTTGGCTTGCAAAGTGAATAGTTCAATATGCATACATTTCTCACCAGTCCAGTTGAGAATACTATACACGTTATCTTCAACAGATAATAACCCATTTCTTTGTCCCATAAACGCCTTGCCTTTCTATTTTTCTCCTTAATGTTCTTCCTCAGACTCTCCTCCTTCACCCACCCTCTTCCCACACTGTATCTGGTATCTCAATATAGTCTACCATTAGATTTTAAATTATTTTTCATTCGTGATTATAATAATTGTTAGCCAGTTTCCTAAATGCTGTCTGAAGGAAACATATATTTTAAAATAGATAACTTTGTATGAGGGAAAGAAAAAGAATGACAACATCCCTTGAAAACAAAACAAACATTGGGACAATGCCTAGAATGGTTTATCGGATGCAAGATAGCTTTACACTTAACGTTCTAAGCATAAAAGTAGTGCTAGCATCAACTTTAAACATAGGAAGATAATTATTTGATACAAAGGCAAGTTCTACAAATTATAATTGAATAAGTTAAAAGGACAGATGTCCTCATGCATTTTTAGAACTACCCTTAATATGAGAGGTATGGCTTAGTGGTAGTTTTCCAAATGATGGTTTTCAAAGAGAATGAAGGTTATGTGCTGAGGTTTGCCACACCCTTAGCTGGAGAATATAAAAGTCTGAGTGCAGACGGTGATCTTCATTCTCTGGAAACTCACTTTGGACAGCAAACCAAATCCTCCAGCCCTGACACAATGAGCTATTACAACAGCAACTGCTATGGAGGCCTTGGCTATGGCCTTGGTGGTTTCGGTGGCCTGGGTTCTGGCTATGGTTCTGGCTATGGTCTTGGGGGTTATGGTGGATATGGCTATGGCTACTTCCATCCCTCTTTCTATGGAAGACACTGGTCAATTGGATTCTTCTGAAAATACTGTTCATTACATAAAAATTCACAAAATATTTCTATTTCAGCAAATACTTCTGATTTCTTTACTGTGATCATTGATATATATATGTGAGTTTCATAGCCATTGAAGAAGATATCCAAGACAAATCTCTGAAACTGTGGGGATTTATTTCATAATGCAAGTTGGATAGCCTCACTCCTGTTCCATTATTGAAATGCAGCTTTCTTCTTTATATCTTTAGTGATATTTCTGGACATATTTCATAATAAACTTTATTTCTAAAAATCTGAAGTCTTGTTTTATTTATCTTAGTCCATCTTATTGCAATTTTTGTTTATATATTGGCATCTGTGAATCATATTTTCTTATTATATTAATTTTGTTTCCTATGGATATTTTTCATTCTTTAAAGTAACCCTCAAAAAAAAGATCCTCATAGCATTTTAGCTTAGCAAAAATCTCTGTGCTTCACATAGTGTTTGCTTTTTCTTTTCATCATACATTAAACAAAATAGATTTAGACATATCTAACTAATTATAATATTGAATACACAAACACACTTACTGCATTTAATATAATATTTATGCTTATTTTTGTATAAATGTAAGCAGTAAGTCAAGTGTTATTAGTAGTGAGGAATCTTTTTGTGGACATTTAGCATATGAACTTGGCAAGAAGCAAGAAAGTATCCATTATCTGTCCCTCAGTCTCTACTGTAGCCTAGAGCAGTGCCCTGCTATAGTCAAAGGCAGGGGGGTAAGTTGTTTGACTCTATGTCCCAACTTCAATTTCTGTGAAAGAGATAGAGAGCTTACATTTTTTAAATTTCTATTTACATGTCCTTGAATATTTTAATGTTGTTGATGATACATATTCTACTTAGCTTTTCAGATTTTATCCTTCCCTTTATTCTTACTTAAATAAATAAAATTTGTTTTCAAATGAATGTTTCTATGCTTCTTGATCTTTATCTGGATGATTTTCTGCAACTTTTGTCTTTGCCTCTTTAATTCAAACATAAGACTGGTTATTGACTTTCATGTTTTGGCTTCTTCAGAACTCAGATCTTTTTTCAATCTTACATGCTATACTCCCTAATATAATTCTCATTTAATTAAGTGAATTACATACAGCTTGGTTGTTTTAAAGTGATTTTCCCAAGTACTGTTAACACTATGTTCAAGAACTAAAATTGTTATTATTCAATAAACTGATGTATGCTAGTATCAGTATAGTAATACGAATACATCAATATTGACAGATCAATATATTGTTATATATATGAACATAAAAATTAGTGCTACTATTTCTTCATAATGGTAACATTAGAGATGGTTTGAGAGGTAAGCTCCACTGGTTCTATCTAGAGTTAGCACATTTCAACCCTTCCTATGGCAGATATTTAATGTGTCCTAAGATAAATTTAATAAGTGTCTTTGTCTAGTTGATAAAATAATACATAATGTCATGATTAAACTAGAACTAAATTTCTTTCAACCTCTTCCTTTAATGTTATATAATAAAATATTTTGAAAGGCAATGGTATATAATAAAAAAAAAAACTTGCTTCAAAATAGTCCAGTAGGGAGCAAGCAAGTGAAGTTATATAGGACTTGCTTCAAAATAATATAGTAGGGAGCAAGCAAGTGAAGTTATATAGGAAACACAATTTACCTTGAATTTCTATTGTTCAAAATAAGTGATTGTTGGGAACCAGCAGTTAGCATAATGGCTATGTCGCTGGACTCCCACGTAGTCGACCGCGGTTCGCGTCCTGGACCGGGTGGCTTAAAACTCACGCTGGGCGCGTGTGCGTGCATGCCCAAGATCCCGAGAGGAGAATGGAGGAGAAGGGATTGTGGCGTGACCATCCCCCCTGGGAGGTGATTTCTCGCTTTCTGTCTCTATGTCTCTCTCTGTCTGTCTGGTGAGCGCACGCGCCCTATAGCAAAAATCTCTCCAAAAAAAAATAAATAAATAAGTGATTGTTAGGAAACAGCACAAACACCATGCATCTAGAATACTTTGGATTTATGACCTCTGATTATCAGTAAAAATGGAAAAATGCCTAACCTCTTGCTGTCCTGCTCCAAAATGACCAAAGGTCATTCGACAGGAGTGTGATCTGATGAATGTGTTCTCCAAATTCCAAGTTGTGCTGTCCAGCCTCTGGCATCATTCAACTATACCCTCCTTATTGATACTAAAACAACCCTGTTCTAGGAATTACCCTATCTTTCTAATCCTCTAAGAAGCAACTTTCTCTAAAATTAAGTTTGCTTCCTTTTTTGCCCCAATAAATACAGAGGATGAGAGTGACTTAGCAGGTGCATACCTGGTATGGCCTCTTCTTCCCTTCTTGACTCAGATCTCTGTGTCTTGAGTAGGCTTCCTCTTTTGCCCCAATAAATACAGAGGATGAGAGTGACTTAGCAGGTGCATACCTGGTATGGCCTCTTCTTCCCTTCTTGACTCAGATCTCTGTGTCTTGAGTAGTACTTTCATGCATGCTTCAGGTGACTCTCCATCGGACAGAAGAGTCACAAGTGATCCTAATTTATAATACTTCTCCCCCCTCAGATAAGGTTTGATGGTCTGAGTGAAAGGAAAACATATTTAAAGAGATACGTATTTCAAAGATGTCAGGTTGGCCAATATCATGAAAAAGAATGCAAGGTGAATACATGTTTTCAACGACCTTGAACAGTGCTGCTGCCACAGTAATGGAAAGATACAGGTAGGCGCAGATTTAAACTGAAATGAATAGAAGTTGATCTCAGAGTATACACATTTATTTTCAGCTTGACTGTCAAATAAATTTATCTTGTAGTGTTTACATGATTAGTGTCCTTAGGTAATTTTGCACAATATACACTATTTATTACAGTTATCAGTAAATATGTCAAATGTTGGCCTTCGCTTCACTGTTGATAGCATTTTCATTTTAGAGTAAAAAAAATAGCATTCTAAAATACTTTCATGCATGCTTCAGGTGACTCTCCATCGGACAGAAGAGTCACAAGTGATCCTAATTTATAATACTTCTCCCCCCTCAGATAAGGTTTGATGGTCTGAGTGAAAGGAAAACATATTTAAAGAGATACGTATTTCAAAGATGTCAGGTTGGCCAATATCATGAAAAAGAATGCAAGGTGAATACATGTTTTCAACGACCTTGAACAGTGCTGCTGCCACAGTAATGGAAAGATACAGGTAGGCGCAGATTTAAACTGAAATGAATAGAAGTTGATCTCAGAGTATACACATTTATTTTCAGCTTGACTGTCAAATAAATTT